CAGCTCCTTCTCCAGCTCGTTCATCCCATGGCACTAGCTTGCAAGCTCCAACACAGACCGAAACCAATATTTGGATTCAAAGGAGAATGACCAATTTCTTCAAGAAACCATACTCTTGAAGAAATCAGTCTTGAATCTGACCTAGATAAAAATGAGAGAATGATTTAAGTAGCTAGATGCAGATTCTGGTTTCAAAAGCAGTTTTTCAAAAAGAAATCAATTGGAAAAACTCATAGATGAAATATTTGGTTCTCTCTTGAGGAAGAAGAAGAGAAAGATAGCAAGTGAATCTTTCCAAAACTTCCACGCAAAAGAGACAGCCGCCAAATGAGCAAAATCATAGCCTTTACAGACCAAAAAATTTCTTAGGTCAGAAACCCACATGGCAGCAGAGAGAAATAAAGAAGAATAGGACAAAACAATTTGTTATCCAGCTGCAAATCCTACAGAGCAAGGATGACTAGTCATATGATAAACGGATGACTAGTCATCATTTTATGAAGACTGTTTAATGTAATGATATGCAATGCACTTTGTCAACTTGCTTGAACCTCCATAGAGCATAAATTAGAGAAGAACACCAAGAAAATTTTTCCTTAATCTAAACGTGAGCTTGATAAATAACAATACATATCCTATTACAAAGTTGTCAAGGGAAGCCAAAAGAAAATAACAAAAACCATACATTAACAATATTTATTGCTAGTGAAACAATACACAGAACTATTTGAGTTGAAATTGTTTTTGAGTTTAATTAACTACCACTTGTTTTGGTAAATATCTTATTAGGTTCTACAAACATGACTAAAAGCTATTGATAGGTCAAATTATATACTTACAATGTTTGATATTACTCAGTTCCATAAGAAACTTACATAGATTCATACATACACATAATAGAGTTAATGTTGAAATTATGAATAAACATGACCGATACCTATGGTCTCTTGCCAGAAGCATATCGATCATAATTTGCTTCATATGAACTCATTTTCTAATAATAACCAGCAGTTCTTTGATCTGTAATAGTTTATTATGTGAAAATTTTATTTTTGATTGAATAGTTTTAGAAACCATGGTATTTATGTTACACGATATATTGAGCGAACATGAAGATTTTGCTTCACGTTATTATCTTCAGATTTATTGTGAGGAAAGTGCCTATGAAAGGCATTCACTGCTCCTGTCACCCCATCTTCGCCATCCATGGCCTTCGCAATTTCAACAGCACGTTCTTTAACCTTTCAACATAAAATAGTTATTGCTTTGTTAATTTAATCTATTTAGGTACACGCAATGGATTGAAATAACATAAAATAACCCCAGAGTTGTGAATATTTGCATTTTGAAATTGATTATAAAACAATGTCAACTTCAATTAAATCAGTACGTATGCATGTGTGATAAGTTTACACTCAAGAAATGACAAATATGTGTAAATCACTTGCAAGTTTAAAAAGAAATGATAAATACCTTTGGATCTAACATGAAGCGTATGGCATCGACCGACTTTTAAAGCGAGAATTCATCAGCTGGAATGGGTGCAGGACCTACTCCTCTGGCATGCACCCTCTCCCCCCAAAATGGCTGGTCCCCAAAGAATGGTACTATGCAATCCAGAGGTATACTTTGCATGTATTAGACATGCCTCAGTCAAATTAGATATTGAACAACTGAACAACCAAAGGGTCGATTTGTCATCTGTCATGAATAGACCTCCACAACCTGTTCGTTAGGGACCAACATGAAGGTGGTCACTCTTTAGAGATTGTGGCTTTGGTTGATTGTTTTAATTGGGAAGGAACAAGTAATTTTTTTAGGGTAAGGACAAACAGAGCTACTTTGGGATAGAACCGGGAAAAGAAAATTAAACATGAATAGAGAAAGCTGCAACAAACTCACAAGGCTATCAAATCCAATATAGTCTGAAAGGATAAAATCTTTTTTTGACATTTAAATTCTTATAGAGCAACCACCAACGTGGTTTATCATAGCAAGATGAACTAGTTTCAATTTTTTTATAATTCTTCAATGTCAATCATGTAAGGAGTGTTATGCTCTGCTTTCACTATTGAACAGGTTGAACTTACTCGCAAGTTTGAAGGACTGGAGCATTTTAAGAATGATGAACACCCACAGTTTTCGTTGATCCAGGCAGAAAAACAGATGAAGAAAGAATAATTTATTTCCTGGATCTAAGATTCATAAACTAGTGGAGGGATCTAGTAGACAGTAGATTGTGAAATTATTCACATAAATTTTTAGCCAACGAGATTATCAGCATACTTTAAAGTGCAAAACGTAAGAAACAAGGTGAAGAGTAGTAAGGAAATCCACAAGGAAAAAAATAGTAACAGGCTCTGGGAGTTCATACTTGAACTGCATCAAGTGGTATCAGAGCGACCTTTCTGCATTTTGCATCCTTCCTTGAGTTTAAAGCAAAGAGCTCTCATAGCATATGCTGCACGTGCCCTGGACAAAGCAAAAATGATGCCGCACGGCTATACTTTCTAATTAGATTCGAATATTTTAAGATTACAGCCGAACGGCTATACTCTTTAAATTTATTCGAACGAACACGAAGCTTGCACTCGCAGGCCACGGGCCCGCCTGGCCGCCTGCCTGGGCCGACTTTTCAGTTCTCGCTCTCCAGCATCCAAACGCATTCTCTCTCTCCCCTTGTCGTCAAGGTCTGTTGCCTCTGTTCATTCATTGTAAATTTTAGTATTCAATAGTTCATAGCTTTTTCAATTTTTCAATTTTGAATTTTGATTGAAACGCTAGATAATGTAGGGGTTTTAATTTTTTTAAACATGCTCTTGACAATTGTTGTATGAGGGCACCTGTGTCAATTGTCGTAAATCAGTAGAAAATGTGCTCTTGAATTTTGTTAAGATTATATTGAGAGCCTAATGTTGGATTTTGAGATTGCAGTTTAGGAGAGCATTACGTGATTTTTCATGTAGGTAAGGGAAGTAGCATAATGACTTTAGGTTTTCGTGTTATGGCTCAACACCTGAAGTTCTTGAAAGGCTTTATAAGGTCATACAGAGTCTAGCTAATCTAGTGCAACAGTATTTTAGGCTGGATGGGACACCAGGCAGTTTTTATGAGTACATATGATAATGATAAGCCTCAAGGAAAGGTTTCATCGGAAATACTTCACAAGGGGAGTGTGGGACCACAAGGAATTGAAGTTCATGAAGTTGGTACAGTTGGTATAGAGGAGCTACGAAATGCATAAATAATTATCTAGGTTTGATGAGTGCATTTTACTCCTTACTTGTGGCATGTGAGCTCTGTATAAAATTTCCGCGGAGTCTAAGACGAAGCATCATTATAAAAGTCTCAACTCTGAAGTTGACTTCTTATTTTGAGTATGTGGACATAGCACAGATAATGGAAATGCACTGCGGGGGACAGTCATAGTATTTGTGAACAGAAAATAGCGATCTAAATTCCAACTACCAAGTGAGAAGAAAATCTTGGAACTTAAGAGGTGAAGACCAAGAGTGATTGACAGTGGATCATTATCCAGAGATCTATTTGATTTTGCCTACACTGCAGGCAGAAAATAAAAAGGCCAATCGTAATGGGAGAACCATGCATGCCTCAAGCTTGGCCCGGTGTCTCACATAATGAGTGATTGTCCTTTCCTTAGGGATGTTGATAGCTAAGCTTCATCATCGTGCATGCCCTTATTTATCTTTAGCTAGTTTTCCTTCGGTTATAGGTACATTTGGTGGTCTATGTTGTACATGTTCCTATCACATTAACTTCTGTTGACTTATCACTAACAGGGTTCACTCCCAGTGTTTTTCTATTGTATTGATTTTTAATTGTCCTTTTGAAGTCACTCCTACCATCCATATTAATATTTTCATTCCCACTACATGGTTGTGTTGCTCTTATGTGTGTCTAACACTTTGCCCCGTAAAACTAGCTACTAAAAGAATTGAGAATTTATGATATCAGTCAGAAATATTAGAGTCTCCAAATCAGTTTTAACAGATGCCCTCCTTACCAGCTCTAAAACTGCATGAGTTCTCATAGATGACATTAATAGCCCCTCCGATAGGACAACTGAAACTTGGGCTATTGATTTTCTCTTGCTATGATCTATAATAACAATCACAGAATCTGCGTAGAAATCCTTTGCTGTAAGAGTTGATGACAGGAAGCTTTTGATAGATTTGATCCTCTTGGATATCCAAGATTTTACCGCGCATGGATTAATCTTTTGCCCATCATGTAACTTGACTATTTTATGGAGTTCCTGTATTTCAAGAGAAGCTGAATTTTGATTTAAGGGGAAGTTTAGGTGGGGTTTTTAAAGGTAAATGACATTTATGGTGGTTAAGTTAATAATGAGATAAATTTTAAAGTTTTTTTGAGAATCCCCTGATGCGGTTTGTAGGTTCTTCCTATGAAAAACTCCTATAACCTCAGAAGGGATAAGATCAGACCATCAGACAAATCGTATCTATCAAAATTATTTTAGCTTGATACTCGAGCAAGGGCTTTTTAACACTTTGACGCATGTACTTTTCAGTCACTATTTCAGAGTGCTGCTACTCATAACTGTATTAACTATATGAGTCATGACTTGCTGTTTAGTTAATTGGATATTCTTCCTTAACATATGCAGGTTTTTCTGTGTTGAAATGAGACTGAACATAGTGGAATAAATACAAAATTCATGTGAAAAATGCAGTCCAAGTGCTTGGAATTGCAGCAAGATTTATTTTTGAAAGCTTATATGTCTGGAAGCAAAGTGTTGCTAACCTATAAGCGAAAGCGGCAATCAAGAACAGATCCTGTACGGGGACATGAGTGCCGTAATTCACTTTTTGTTGCTCCCGATGATACTTCTTTAAACAAACCACCAGACTTGCAAGTTCATTTGATTGATAAGCGTTCATCGGAACATTACAACAGAAATTTTGCGGTGAGATTTTAGAAAGTTGGAACCTGTTCACTTTTTTTAGTTTGTTTCATGGGGATATATGTTGTATGTCAATCATCTTTATGTAGATAATTTAATAATCCATCCTTCCCTATTTTTCCACTGAAGTTATGGTCTAGAAGAATGTTAGAAGACTTGAAGATGGGAGATTGAAGCTGCAGAGTGCATATATGATACTGCTCTGGCAACTTCACAGGCGATCTTGAATAGGGATGGCAACGGGCCGGTTACGGGGGTATGACAATACCATCCCTATCCCCGTTCCCCATCCCCGTCCCCGTCCCCGCCCCAATCCCCGGTTTAGGCTTTTCGGGGAATCCCCGTCCCCGTCCCCGTCGGGGAAGTACCTCCCATACCCGCCCCAATCCCCGATTTTTAATAAGATACTTGTTAAAATAATTTTCTAAGCATAGTCACATCATTGTAAATTTTTAAAAACAGCCAAATGAATAAAATAAATTTCTCAACAAGGCAAAGGAGGACACAAGACTTGAAATAATTTCCCAATCCAAATCTTTTGAAACTTTTTCAGTAAGCACAACAAATCCATCTAGTCTTAAATTAGAAAACCAATCCCAAAGAAATATTGACAATATTTTGTCATCAAATGAAACTTCACAATTTTAATGAACTCTCATATGCTTCCTCATTCATAGCCTTAATCAAAACACAAAGAGATGTTCTCTGTTTCAATGGTAGATGCCTACAAAAAATAAAAATTAATAAGATAAAGGCATTACAATTATTTAAAAGAAAATAAGAAACTGGCCAATACAAGAAAAATCCATTTAAAAAAAATAAGGAGAGCTATTAAATATAAGAATGTTACCTCTTCCTCATTATTATCAACTTCCTCATCTTGAACGGTGAGTCTTTTAGCTTCGTTCTCATTAGAGCTTGAAGCTAACTGTATAAAAAAAAAATCATAAAACAATAATAAAATGTTTTACTTAATATGAAAAATATAACCACAAAAATATTTCAATACCTCTTATCTCACTCCATAACCAATCACGAGCGCACATCAATGCCTCTACTGTTTTTTAATGAAGCCGGCTACGATGAGGGCTTATAATCCTTCCACTAGTACTAAAGCAAGACTCTGAAGCAACTATGGATACAGGAATGGCTAAAATATCTCTAGCAATATCATGCAAAGTAGGATATTTGATCCCATTTGATTTCCACCAAAACAATATATCAAAATCATCATCATCATTCCTAGGTAAAAGAGACTCTTTTAAATAATGATCCAACTCAGATTTAACGTGTCCATGGGTATTAGAGTGAGAAACAAACATATCCAATTGCTTTACCAAATCAATTTTAGGCATAGATGGCCTAGATGAAGGAAGTAGGAATCAAAGATTCAGATTGGACCTGCTGACTTTGTTGAGATTTTGACTGATACTCCTTGACCAAGCCATAGAGGATATCTTTATATTTCTTAATCTCTTGAGCTGCATTGTTTTGATATATTAGAGGGCATAAAAATTCAATTTGTTTCATCTTATACCTTGGATCCAAAATACTTGCAACTTTCATCAAACCATGCATTGTATCCCAATACTTCTCAAACTTTGTTTGCATATGTAATGCCATTGCTTGCACTTCTTCTTGTTCAGAATTTTGCTAATCATAAATTGCTAATCGAATAGCACAAATATTCTTAAAGTAAAGATTAGCAGTAGGATACTTGGTCCCTGGAAAAAGCACAGTCACATCATAAAACATGGCTCATGATGCTTCAAACGAGGAAAAACATCTTTGAATATCATTGCAGTCTTAAGCATGGAATATGTAGAGTTCCATCTAGTCTTACAATCAAGTTTTAACATTTTAGAGGTTGGAACTCTCAATTGTCTTGCTGCTTCAAGAAATTTCTCCTCTCTTTTTTGGGTTCCTAGCCAAAATGCAACATTGTACCTAATTTTCTCAATACTCTTTTTAATCACCTCTAAGCCATCTCTCACCACCAAAGTCAGAATATGAGCACAACATCGCATGTGGAATAAACATCCATCTAACATAAGTGAACTGGAGCAAATCTTATCTAACACTATCACAATCATGGAATCATTTGTAGAACAATTATCTATAGTTAAGGTAGACAACTTACTGTCAAGATTCCATTCGAACATGCATTCCAATAAAGTATCAGCAAGTACATCTGCCGTGTGTGGACATGGAACGTATATAAACCTACAATAAAAACCAAATAAGTTACAATCTTTTTTTTTTAAAGAGTATTAATAATTCAAATAAGAACAATATAATATATTTACCTTATTAGTCGGCTTTGTAAATTCCATACATCATCAATGAAATGTGATGTGATAGTCATGAATCCTCTCTTTTGATTATTCGATGTCCACATATCCGTTGTAATGGCAATTCTACTTCTGTTGGTGTCCAACAACTTCATTGTTTTCTCCCTCTCAACTTCAAAAACCTTAAAGATATTATTCTTGATTGTGTTTCGAGAACACACTTTAAATAATGGTTGCAAAGCATTGGAATACATTTTGAATGCAATATGATCAACCATGGATAATGGATATTCATGAAGAATAATCATATTTGCAAGTGTCCTCCTAGCATAGTCGTGGTCAAAATTATAAGTACCAAGCTTGACGGTCCCATCATTCGACTTTGTAGGATTCAACATTGATTGATCTATGGTTCTTTATCTTTTATAAAGACAAGACTTTACATGATCAAGTAAATGTCTAGTCCCATTCTTGCTACTTTCACCTAAGGTATTCTTACATTGAATGCACACCGCTTTCATTTGACCACGAATTTCTTTCTTTTCAAAATGTTCCCAAGCAGGAGATCTACCTTTTCTTTTATTCACAACATATTGAGTTGAAATGGTGGCTTCTTTGTTGTTATTTTCAGTTGGTGTAGGATTGCTATCATGTTCAGTTGGTGTAGGATTATTATCCTCCTCAATTTGAGTTTCAGGAACTTGAGTCTCTTCATTGTTGTCACCCATCTAGAAAAAAAAAACATATACATTAAAAATATAAAGATTGATACAGCAATTGAGAGGTACAATATTTTTTACAATAGAAAATTATCAAAGAGAGAAATCTTAAAGAGAGAACATTGCTGACCTTTTGCATGTGAACTTGATTTAAAAGAAATCTTAAACAGACAACTTTGATGTGTAGTTGCTCAAAGAATTCGAGAGGATAGCATATTTTTTGAATATGAACAAAACTTAGAACCCAAATTCATATATGACCTACTTGATGGCGTACAAAAAACTTAGGTTTTTTGTAAACACTTGAGTTTTAGCCTTCCACTTTTATTTCCTCCTCATTCATGGTTTGTTTGAGGACTTTGGTTTTCCTAAAAACCAATAGAAGCAGCAGCACGCGACCAACCCTTCATCTTCATTCATGGTCTCTTCATGATCCTCACATATTACACCAATCCACTATGTTGTTGCCAAGTTCGATGTGCATGCCAACTCTCTATGCAATGTATCAGGAATAAGGAGCGACGCTAGGGTAACTCGTTTATTATATTATATTAATATATATTAATATACATTTTTATATATTAATTATAAATAAATATATTACTTATCGGGCCGGGTTCGGAGATGGAGATAATAATACCATCCCTGGCCTATCCCTAACCGGGGATTTTGCAAATTCGGGGATCCCCGTACCCGGCCCCGATTTCCCCCCGAAAACTCCGCCCGTTAGGGCCGGGGACCCGACATGGGCCCGACCTTGCGAGTATTATTGCCATCCCTAATCCTGAAGCGATGTTCCCATGAAAGTGATGGTGTTTCAATGTGCTTTTGTTGGATACAGTATCGCCGTGAGACTATACTGTATAAATAGAAATTTTAAAAGTATCGTCGAGCGGCTATACTCTATAAATAAAAATCATAACTGTATAGGCTATATTGTATAAATAGAAATTTAGAGTACAACCGCCCGGCTATACGCTATAAATAGAAATTTAGAGTATAACGGACCAGCTATACACTATAATCGCGGCTATACCTCATAAATAGAAATTATAAGAGTATAGCCGTTGTACTCCCTAAATACAATATATTAACAGTATTGCCGCGATATTGTATAAATAGAAATGTTAAAAGTATAGCCGGGCGGCAATATACTCTATAAATAGAAATTTTACAAGTTTAGCCACCTTGCTATACGCCATAAATAGAAATTATAATGATATAGCCCCTAACTATACCTGTTAAATACAATATTTTAATAGTGTAGTCACGTGGCTGCACACTCTAAATATTTTAAAAGTATATCCACATGGCTATACTAGTTAAAAGTATAAAATTAGTTTCTTTACTTTTTTTTTGGCCTAGCTTCTGTTATTTAATATATGGAATTAAGTAATATCTTAGTCTTTTTTAATTACTTTAATTATTGTTTCTTTGGTGAAAACATAGAATATTTTAAAGGATAGCCACACGGCTTAAATAGAAATTATAACAGTATAGCCGATCGGTTGTACTCTGTATATACAATATATTACCGGTATAGCCGCGCGGCTATACTTGAAATTTAAACAATAGAGCTGCACGGCTATAAGCTATAAATAGAAATTTTACATGTCACGACCCGATCCGAGAATACATAATATTCCCAAATCATGGTGCATGAATTGAAAGAAATAAATAAAAAGACAGAAAAATTAGTTAAAATATGTTACCATTATATTTATAAATAAAATTATAATAATCTTACAAGTGTACAAGATATAAATAAAATTTTATCACTCTAAATTAATCCAACTTCTTTGGTTTCGGCTTTGTCTTGCCCACTAATTGATCTGAAAAACAAAATAGGTGAGGGATGAGCAAACCACCACTCATTGAGTAGATTATGTAATATGTCAGTCAAGCAATGTCATTTTACACTATCTCGAAAAATATAATAAAAAGATACACAATCCAAACCATATCACATCATTACTTCATATCTTGGTTATCCTTCACAAATTGTACCAAATACGTGACCCTATCGGCCTCACTGCCCTCTGTCCCGTCTAGTACATTTATCCTTCAAATACTCAATCACTGAAGTTCTCATGTTCCATGAATAATACAAACTTTACAAAAACTCCAAATAATATTGTGTGAAATATTGCACAAATTAGACATGCTTGACTTAAAAATAGAGAGAAGTGTGTAAATAGATTTTCATATTTATCACAAAATAAGAACTTTTAGAACATATTACATAAC